CCATCTGTAAAATGGTACTCACTGTAGCCCCCAGCTTACAGGGATGTTGCAGGATCAAAAATGGCCATGCATGTGAATCACGTGCACAATGGCTGGCACACAGAGGGCTCGATGGATGTTCGGCCAGATGTCATCTATTCGTTTATTCCGCATTGGACCTTACCAAATGCCAGACCACAGCAGCACTGGACATACATAGGCAAAGGCCAAGTAGCCCCCTAGAGGAATGTGGGGGCCCTGGGTATGTAGGAGGACACACCTGGGGACCCCCACTTTGCCTGGTGCATCTCCTTGGACTGGCTCCCCTGTAAGCCCATCTCCTGCCCAGGAGTGGAACACAGGCAGAAGTCCTGACTCCCCTTCAGCCATTGCCATCGTTTTGCTAGTCTTGTTTCAACACTGCCCCCCACCCCTGACCCACATTCTGGATTACTTGGAAACAAAGCACAGGCATTTTCACTTCTCTCATTAATATGCAGGTGTCTGATCATAGAGGACAACTTCACATGACCCCAGTGCTCTGATCACGCCTGACAAAGCATGGATTCTCTCCATGGTCTAAGACACGAGAACAGACTTTGCTCACTGTGTGAGCCAAGAGGTGAGCTGGCTTCTCCCACCCACACAAGGGGTGGGCCCCATCTAGTGGTAAGACTCATGGCCTGTGGGAAGGAGGTGGGCAGGTTTGCAAAAAGTCCACATCCTCTAGAGGGCTGGAGTTTCCTCTTCCCTAACAGTGACCCTTACTTAGCTAAAAGAGGTAAGAGAGAGTGGGTACCCAGTGTGCATGAGCTTATGGACACTGTGCTGTCCTAGCTGGTGAGGACACCCCAAGGCTCCCCACCCCACAGGTATTTGTGGGTATGAGTATGTGTGTGTGTGGGAGTGTGAGTATGCGAGTATATCAGTGTGTGAGTGCATGAGTGTGTAATGAGTGTGTGACTATGCATGAGTGTGTCTGTGTGTGTCTGTGTGCATGAGTGTGTCTAAGTGAGACTGTGTGGCTGTATGCGCAATGAGCGTGACTGTGATGGATGTCTGAACTTGCATATGTGATTGTGACTGTGCTTATGAGTGTGTGGTGAGTGTGACTATGAGTATATGAGTGTGTGAGTGTATTTGTGTGACTGTGTAATGAGTGTGACTGTGTGTGAGTGTGACTGTGTGGTGTGTATGTGCAAGTGTATGAGTGTGTATAACTGTGATGAGTGTGTGTGTGATTGATGAGTAAGTGTGATCAGTGTGACTATGTGAGTGTATAAGTATGTGAGGAATGTGTCTGTGTGTGCAAGTGTACAAATGTGTAATGAGTGTGTGACTAAGTGTGTATGAGCGAGCCTGTGTGTATGAGTGTGTCTAAGTGTGTGTGTGAGGCTGTGTGTGAATGCATGTGTGATGAGTGTGACTGTGTGATAAGCCATGAGTGTGACCGTGTGTATATGTGTGATAAGCATGAGTGTGATTGTGTGTATGTGTGTGATGAGTGTATCTGTGTGTGCAAGTGTGTGAGTATGATGAGTGTGACTGTGACTGTGTGTGTGAGTGTATGAGTGTGCGTGACTGTGTGTGATGAGTGTGCCTGTGTCTGCAAGTGTGTGTGTGTGTGTGTGAATGTGACTGTGTAATGAGTGTGTGTGACTATGTGTGTGAGTGGGTGTGAGTGTGTCTAAGTGTATGTGGCAGGGGCAGCACAGAGCCTCAAATGCGTCTGGGTAAATGGGGGAGGGGGTTGTTTAGAAGGGCCTTTGTCCCGAGAACAGGCTGTTCCTGGCTCTAACCAGAGCTCTGGGGAACAGAGAGAGAGGCCTGACTCTCAAGCCAGTAAGCCCTCCCCCAGCCCGTGTCCCTCTTTGTTTCAGCAACTCCTGTCCCTTCTCACCCTCCCAGGTCATGGGGAACTGGGGTCAGGGCATCTGGTGACAGAGGGGGCTGACTCCCCAGCTCATCGTGAGGCCCAGCCCTGATACAGAGCACTGGGAAGGCCCCAAGAAATGCCATAAGGCTTTGCTGAGGGCCTGCACAGGCTCCTGGTAATCCACTTGGAGTCTTGTCAGGATCAGTACAACACAGAGTTTGAAGGCTGGAGGGTGCAGCCGAGGACCCCATTGGTCAGTCTTGGGCACCAGCACCCTCCTGGGCCTTAATTTCTCCACCTCTCATATTGGCATATTGTTCCCTGTCCTGGCTCCTGCGAGGACAGTTAGGAGGACACAGGAAAGACTTGGGTCTGTGGGTAGGAATCAGCACTGAAGGCCGATGGCCATCTGGGCCCAGCCTCAGGTGTGAGGCAGCAGGGAGGGTGGGAGGGACACAGCCACCACAGACTATGTGCAGGGTGCAGTAGCTGTCTAGCATCCACTGCAGCTGGCAGGTGTGTCCTGATTGCCCCAGATTACAGATAAGGATGCAGAGCCTCGCCTCCATGTCACAAGTTCGGAGAAGGGGTGGTGCTAGCAGACTTGTCTGGGTCACAAGAGCTCCAGCTGTTCTGGTGGGGAGGAGGGGTGGTTGAGCACTGCACCCTCTCTCCCCCAGTGCTTGGGACACTGGCGTGGTCTCCCTTCCCTGTGTCTGCAGCAAGTGCCAATGGGGCTCCATAGACCAAGGACTTCGTGGATTGGAGCTGCCTGTCCCTTGAGACCACCTCAGCCGCTGGGGCTTCCACTCCTTGCCTCATCTTTGCAACTCTGGGTACAGGTGCTGCCTGGGCCTTAGCCCCAGGTCTGCCTCTGAAGCACTGTGCTGAGAGTGAGAACTTGGGGCTCAAATCCTGCCTCTGCCACTTGCCCCCTGGGTGATCTCAGTGAGCCCTCCCTCACTGGGGATCTCAACTTCAGCCCAGACAGGAATATGGCTGTGGGTGTCAGTTTAGAAGGAAGGCAGGGGTGGGCCTAGAGCTGGGCTGTCCTCTCTGGGTCCCCTGACACCCCTTTCCGCAGCAGTCTCTGCTCCCTCCTGGCCCTCAGCAGCTGGCAGCCTCTGGACATGGACATTAAGTCCAACCGGAAACCCTTCCTGTCCAGGGGAATTACTGGTTTCCACGGCTCTGGGAGATGTCGAAAGTCAGACTGTTTACCTTGGGTTTGTTTTCCTTCCACGGAAAACAAAACAAACACACAGGCGAATGCACGCGGACACACAAGGCCAGATAACCGAGCAGGAAGCCAGAGCCTCAGCCCCAGCACGCAGTGGGTGCTCAGTGAATGCCTGCTGGGGGCGCGAGGGGGCGAGGCGTCCCGGGTTGGAGGCTGGCTCCCCCACTGACTTCTTGTGGGATCTTTGGCAAGGCATTTCTGCCTGAGCCACAAACAGTGGGAGCAAGAGATCCACAACCCTTGGGTCCTTGGGGTGCCAGGCCGTGCACTGGGCCTTGTGTCCACTGGACCACCTTATCTGCACATTAACCCCACAGGGTTAGATAATGAGCTGGGGCTCAGTGAGGCAAGGATCTGCTCAACCTCACATGGCCGGGGGGAGGCAGGTCTCTGGGGGACAGGGGCACTCTGGGACAGACCCCAGCTCTGTGTCCCTCAGATCTGTCCCAAGGAGGGCAGCCTCCTCCCTGGGCTGTTGGCAGAGTGTCTGCTGCGGAGCAGGCACTCACAGGTGATTTTCTCTCCTCCTTCCACCCTCTTTGGGTTGGGTCCCCTCCCCACTCACTGGCTTGGCCAGCTGACATCACCTGCATTCAGACTGACTCTGGCCCTGCTGCCTTTTCACACCTGAGGGAAGGCACCAGAGGTGAACTCTCCCTTTATGCCAATAATCAGGAAAGGGCTTGGTGGCTTCCAGGGATTCGCTGTGTACTCCAAATAAGACAAAGGTCCTGCTTCTGGAGTTGGGGTTCTCTGTCCCTGCTTGTCCCTCTCCCCTCCCCCATCCATGGTCCCAGATCCCAAGGACTCACATCTGGTTTTTCTGCTCTCAGAAGCTGCTCTGCGGAGCTGGCCCACAGGCATATGGTGTGTCTTGTATGCTATTTAAACATTTAGTAAACTAGTTGCCAAAATTAAAAAAGTGGAAAATTTCACATAAGAACCTGGATTTCCAAGCCCCCCTTCCCCCCCCCCCCCCCCGGCCACACACACATGCACGCACGCACGCACACTCAGGCAGTGTGTTCTTAACAGTAATTGGCTGGAGCCGAGAATGTGATGCCCTTGCAGTGGGGCTGGAGCCCCACCCAGCCCCTGGCCTCCTCACCAGTGTCACTCTCACCCCCACAGGACCACAAGGGACCACTGCAAAGTCCAGTGTTTCTCATCCTTGCACACTGGACTAATCTGGGGGCTTTAAGAACCTGAGTGCACACTGAGGCTGACACTGCAAGCATCTCCAGGGTGAGACCGAGGCTCCCGTAGGTGACTGTGGTGAGCAGCAAGGTTGAGAAGGAGCAGAGTACCCATCCCGGGCTGAAGGGCTCCCCATGCAAGTCACTTTGCTGCAGCTCCCTAGCCCTGTGAGCCGTGTCTTCCTGTCCGGCCCCCAGCAAGCCCCACCATGTGACAGCCCAGACCCATTCTGGACTTGCTCAGAAGAGGGACCTACTCCTTTGCCTGAAGACTTCCCAGGTAGCTCTGGACACTTCGCTTTGTTGACTGTGTGATGCACAAACCCCAGCCTTGGCCAGAGGGCCAAGTATGAGCAGGGGCGGCAAGGCCCAGGGCTGCCGGCTCTGAGGAAGATTCACTCCTATATATGGTCACCCGGGAGTCCCATCGCTGAGCTAACATGTGACCTAATGTGCTGACAATCTCGCCCAGTCTGGGGCCCAACTTGGGGAAGGCTGTCACCCTGGAGAGAGTGCCCACTTGAGGCACAGGGGCTGCAAAGAGGCAAATTAACGGCATGGAGGCAGGGCAAGGACAGGTTAAACTAGGCCCAGGAGAGCAGACCAGCACCCTAAGTCCCTCCCTTCCTGCTCAGTCCCACGAATCTGTGGCAGCGTCCAGCTCCCTACTGATGCTCTGTGTAAACAAGGAAAGTCACGAGCCTCTCTTGCTTTTAAAGTCCTTTTAATACAGCACGAAAAGACTATATTTCTATAGGCAAGCCGTATACAGATTCTCCAGGAATAAGGCACACAACGGAATGCCATCCCGAGGGCGACACTTTGGAGAGGTCAGGAGCCTTTCCGTGCACCCTCCAAGCTGGGCCCACGGGTTGTTTGTCTCTTTAGCTGGACACACACATATTAACAGATACAGACACAGATAGGTCACCCCAAGGGAGTGGAGGTCAAGCATTGAGGTTGGCAGCAGACAGCCTGCTGCCACCAGCCCCCGAGGAACACCTCCCACACTTCAGGGTTAGTTGTTGCACTGGGCTACAATGTAGTGATGTTGGGTTAAATAGTCGTTTAGGATAGATTCAAGTCTATAGATGTTGGAGGGCAGGTGCGGACTCTGGTTGAAAGATCCAAGTTCAAAGAGCCTGGAGCCCGAGGCATGGCTCAGATGGCAGATCCAGCGGGGTGTGATGACCTCCGATTCCTTTCCCTCCTCGGGCCCTGCTGATGGGGCCCCTTCACCAGGCCAAGGAGGCCATCCTTGGACCTGGCTGGCCACAGAGGGGTTAGTCACAGACCCCCTCTTCCCCTGGCCCACCTCCTTGCCCCCTGCAAAACTAATAACCATAATAACAAGATAAGAAGAAGGTGCGAGAGAATGGATTACAATGCTGTGTTTGTTATCCTCAGCTGAAGAGGCTCAAAGGGGTCACCATTCCCTTTTTCACTACATATCTAGTAATAGCTTCCCTTAAAAAGGCAATACTTTCCAAATACACATATGTATAAATACAGGACAGAAACATATTAATAAGTCTAAGCACTTGAATAATATGCTGGCTACTTAATACTGATATTTTCATCCAAGGAAAACAACACAGAATAACAATATGGCTTAAAGAATTGCAAAGGTTTTTTTCCTCATCAGAATTATGTACCAACTTCATATAATATTCTATGTAGACAATATTTCCTTCTTAATGTAGTTCAGTTGCTTACTTTTTACAGACCAAAGTATAGTAAAAAAAAAAAAAAATCAAACCAAAAAAAAAAAAAAAACCCCAAGAAAGAAAAGTTCTCACCATAAATATTTTCTTGCAGCTCAAGGTTTGCAAAATACTTCCAGAAATTTTCATTTGATATTCTATTGTCCTCCCGAAAGCTCTGAAGTTTTGAAAATGCCTCTTTTTGTTTGTTTTTTTAATCTCAAAAATCAAACAATTATATTTTTCTTTTTTCTTTTTCTTTTCTTTTTTTTATAAAAGGCCTTCAAATATATACAGACAAAAATCACTGTGAAGATTTTTCGGGAGAAGGCAACAAATTCAGTGTTGTGAGAGTAATTGACAACCATGCAGAAATTTTAACATCTATGACTTTTTTTTCCAAAATACACAAATAGTATTTTTCTTTAAAAAAAGGAATTCTGTGTCAAGTATAACTCAAAATAAATACAAATTCACAAGTAGAACTATTGAATACTTCATATGGGGTAAACACTGTTATCTCCCAGCTAGATCACTAGATCTACTAACTGCAAGCGATTGTCCCTTTTGAACATTACTAAAACCACACACTTTCTTGTCCACTGGGCTCCCAGGCCCTCTGAGCACTTTGTTCTCACAGCATCCAGCCTGGATCTCAGTGGCTTTTGCGGACCACAGAGTGCTCTAAAATTCAGGCAGAACAGTATAGGAGTGGGGAGTACAGAGGGGCTGCCTCGGGCAGAGGACCCAGCCCCCACGGCGGCCAGCTCTGCACAGATGGCAGGGGCGATGGCTGCCAGCTGGACAAGCCCACTGAAAACGTCACTTCGGGGTGACAGCCCCTCTCCTTTTGGCCCTGGCCTCCAGCAGCCTGAGTCTGGGTTCTTTGTAGGGTACAGGCTTCCCCCACCCATTGCGGCATATTTGGCAGGCCCTGGGCATGCTGGGGCCACTGTCCCACTGTAGGGCCAGGTCCCTGGAAGGGTTGGGGCCTGGTCCTGGCAGCTGAGACAAGTGCACTGCCCACCACTGTGAACGTTATCTTGAGCCGTGCCCTAGGATGACTGACAGTAACAGCTTCTCCTCGGGGACAGAGTGCCTTTAGCCCGGGGAACTCCCTCCCGCTCACCTTGACACCGTGGAGAAGGCAGGGGACAGCTGGGCAAGGACCCCTCAGGCATGCCCAGTGGGTGGAGAGGTGCTCATGGTCAGTGGCCAGGCATTGTTGCTGCGGGCAGAGGGTGGCAGCTTTTGAGCTCAGGTTGGAGCAAATACCCTCTTTTCAAGTGCTCAGAGGGCATGAGCCCCTGAAATCTACTCTGCAGCTCCCTGGCTTCCAAAACACTCACTCCGTCTTTTTGACTCGCTCCCTGGACCCCTGGTTAACACTTTACTGTAACTCCTCAGTTGTACAAACATTTTCCTTTGAAAACAAAAGGCAACTGGACACCTGTTGGGTGTCCTTGAGCCGTGGTAAACACTGAATTTCAGGCCCATTTCATGGTCTGATTTTTTTTCCACAGAGGCATAATATTGGGGCAAAATCAAGTGACTCAGTCCTGACAGCCAGTTTTCTCCCTGTTCCTGGGAGAAAGGAAGAATGGTATGACAATAAAACTAAGTCTTCTCACTGGGAAGAGGAAAGAGGAGAATGTGATCCCTCCCACCTGCCAGGACAGCGTCTCCCTGACCAACGTGACGAGCCAAGAGGCCTCCCTTCTCCCTCGGGAGGTAGGAAATCATAGTCCCCGGTTTATAAACGAGAGATTCTGCAGCTTGTCTTGGGGTTTCCCTGTGTGAGGTGGAGGAGGGGACCCTTCTCCTTCACTTTTGCAGGGGTGGGAGACGACAGGCGGAGCTGGCACTGCAGGGAGGACAGGGGAAGACTGGCTCCCTCGGCCTGACTTCTTAGGTGACCCACTGGTGGGTAATGGGGTGGAGCACAGGACCTGGTGAAACTCTCCAAATTAAGCCCTGAGTGCCCGGAGAAGGTGCCCAGCGATGCTGAATTCCAGACGAGGCTTGAAATGGGCCTCTCTGCTCTGGAGTGTCACTCTCTCACTTAACTAGTGGGGAAACCGAGGCCCAGAGATGACAAGTCCTTCCCAAGTTCCCTGGTTTGTTAGCGGCAGGGCCTGCGTTTGAACCTAGGTCTCTGGACCGCCAGGCCTGTGTCCTTCCTGCCAGAGTGGCTCCCAAAATGGGCCCAAAAATTCGATCGGTGATGGAGCGTGGGTGGGAGGTGAAGGGGAAGGGATGGGAATGGGGCTGACAAAATCCACGCAAGTGGGGAAAGTATGTGGGGGTGGGTGGGGGGAGGCGATGCCTGATGTGCCCAGGTCACACCTGGGGACACTGTCCAACACTCACTGCCTCCTTGCTCCGACCTCTGGGTCAACAGGGATGGGGGGATGCAGAACCCCAGGTGCAATACCAGCGACGTCAGAGGCGATCGGGTTTGGGGCTCAGAGTGGGCAAGGGGCAGAGATGCCCATTCCCGGCAGCTGCTAGAACAGATGTCAGCTCACCATGATCACTGACTTAAACAGGACAGAAAAACAGGGCTTTCTGGGAGTGACTTTGCACATGGGGCAAATTAGAAGATTCTGGGAGAACACAGCCTGGCTGGTCTTGGGGAGATAATCCCCTACAGGCTTTGGGATTCACAGTCAATTTAGTGCACTTGTGGCCAATACAAGGCTGCTCAGCCCGAAGGGAGTCTTAGAGAGGGAAAGTTTTCAGGGGACCCCAAAGGCTTTGTGGGATCCCTGCCTCAACCTCTGCCCACCCGCGTCCTCTCCACACAGACGCCAGGCCCTTCTATAGCGTCTTAGAGACCCAGCCTTTGGTGGGGCAGCTATGTCAGTAACACTGTTTGTCAACACACATGAAGACAAGAACCTAAGACCCCCCTGCGCAGACCGGCATGCCTGTGAGGACAGCCCCACGCACATGGGGACATGCAGCAACACAGATGAACGTGGGGAAGTGGTGCCTCCTCTGGCTGGCAGGAGGGTCGCAGGCATGGAGGACGGGCCGGTCATTGCACTCGGCGGCAGTAGTAACCCAGCACTTTGCATTTCTCGCACAGGTGCTGGGGGTGTTCCTTGCTCTGGTCAGACACGTCCAGGCCGTCGGGCTTCTCCAGGGGTCTCTGCAGAGAGGAAGGAGGAAGGGAGCTCAAGGTGGTGAGAGGTGGGGGCAGCAAGAAAGACAGAAACACAGAGTGAAGCAGGGAGAGTGAGATACACATGCAGAGAGGAGAGAGGGTGGAGGGGGAGAGAGACAGAGGCAAGACCAATTCACAGGGAGGGCCCAGAGAGAGTGTGCTGTGGTCACAGAGGTTGTTTCCCAAAGCACCACGGCCCTTCCTGCCTCTCACTGTCCCTGGAGGTACGGGCTGAGAACTTGGGGTGGGGCCAGGGCTGTGGGAGGGGGACCTCTTTGCCATTCCCCAGTTCTCTCTGGGTAGCCACCACCCGAAGCTCACAAAAGCCCCGGATAGAGAAAGATAGGTGCACAGACGTTGTCCAGATAAGAAAACCAAGGCCTAGAGTCAAGAAGACCCAAGACCACACCTCCCGATTCCCAGGACCCAGAACTTCTTCCTGGCTACTGTCACTCCCATGCCTATTGGCGCAGCCTCGGGTCTCATGGGGAGTTTAACCTGGAGAGGGTCACATCCCTCCAGGCTTGGGGGAAGCGAGCCCTCAGTTCCATGAGGGTTAGCGGCTCGTACTCTGAATCCCCTGCTTGTCAGGGCCAGGCACACCGTCTGCTGTGTTTGGTAAGTGGCTAAATGAGCAAAACCTCACTGTTACCTAACAGGAAACAGGCCCAGAGCAGGGAGGTGACTTGCCAGACCTATGACGCTGTTCACTCACTGTGTGACCTCAGGGAGACTTTGTTTCCACATCTGTAAAGCAGGCCGTTGTTTGCAGAGCACTGGGAGGATTCGGATGTCTAGGTGATGGACTGTAAACTGAGCACTGTTAGGCATGTTTCTGTGATAAGGGGAGTTTCCCTGTTCCCTCTTTTTTCCCTCCCTGGCTCTCAAAAGCCAGCAAAGCCTTGTCTCCTTGAAAATGTAGGGATGCTATTAGGCACACATCCTGAGGTAGTCAGCACAGCCCCAACCCAGAAACCCTGCCTGCAGGAGGGTCTCCTGCACCAGATTCGGGGGACTCAGAGGAAGCTGGTATAGGCCAGCAGGAAGCCACATGCCAAGGGGAGGGGGCAGCAGCCACAAGCTGGTGGTGGGGCAGGGAGCCTTAGTGCCAGTGATCATGACCCAGGATGGCCCTGGAAAGACACCGAGGGGGAGCACTACCCCCCTGGCCAGACTGTAAGCTGCTCCAAAGTAGAATAGTGGCTTTTCTGCCCAATCACACAGTACCTGGCCCCAAGGCGCCACTCAGAGGGAGCAGTTTGTGAATGCACAGGCAGAGGGCTCTAGGACATGAGTGCAGCAGGGACTGTGGGTGGCAGGGTTTTGACCCAGGGGGCACAAAGGCCATGCCTGTGCTTCCTGGCCTAAAGCCACAAAGGGATGGACTGGGAAAAGGACAGGAGTCTTGGCCTTGCCTCAGGGGGCTTGCAGATGACTGGCTTTCCTGGCCAGAGGAGATGACAGAGTTTGGATCCCTGTCAGACCTGGGCTGGAACACCAGCTCGTGGCCCACAAGTTGCGTGACCTTGAGCAAGCCACCTGACCTCTGACCTTCCATTTCCCCATCTGTAAAAGGGGAGGTTGATAACATTTTCCTCATGAGATTGCTGTTCCAACTTAATGAAGATCAGGAATAGAAAGAGACAGCATATAAAAGGTATTAACATTGATGATGATGATGATGATATCATAATAATGATGATGATTAATGGGAGGAGACACCAGCTGGTACAGAGTCAATAAAAGTTGAAGCCAGGGTTCCCAGCTGGAAGGCCTAAGGAAGGTCACATCCCCTGCTCACCCAGACATCTTAGTGGACACCTACAACATCCAAGGGCATGGCTTACAAGCCCCGAGGACTAGGGAGCTCCCTGCAGGCCAGCTGAGCTCAGTGGCTCAGCTCAATGAGCTGTAAGAAGGGCTTCCCGATCTTGAACTGACATCTGGGTGCCTGTACCCCCATCCTACTAATTGCAGCTGCACAGGGGTCACACAGAAGTCTCCCCTCCCCTGACCAAACCCAGCCTGCTTTCCACGCCCCTCTCCCCTCTTCACACTGGCCAGGGGCCCTTCCCTGAACGGGTCTTCCAGATGGGGCCAGAGGCCAGAGTAAGCAGGCCTGACACCCCATTGCTCCCCATGGTTTATATTTTGCAAAGCGTTGCCACATTAATCAGAGCACCTAACCTCACATCCTTCCTACGAGGGATATATTACTATCTGCCTTACAGATGAGGAAACTGAGGCTCCAAGACATTAAGGGTCTTACCCAGCGGCCTGCAGTATCACTTATCTGCCAAGGGCTGGTGGACAAGAACTTTCTCCTCTAGAACCTCAACGTGCCCTTCTGTAACCTGGGTGGAAGGTTAATAACACTTGCTGTACATGTGACAGAGAGAGAATTAAATGAGATGACTGTGTTATAACCATAAAAAGTACTTTATAACCATAAAGAGCTCTGCAAGACTTATCATTGCTGTGTGGCCTTTAGCAAGTCACTTAACCTCTCTATGCCTCAATTTTCTCCTCTGTAACACTGGGCTAATAAGAGTGCCTATTTGATAGGGTTGTTGTGAAGAGTAAATAAGCTAATATGTGTAAAGTTGTTAAGACAGTGCCTGGCACATAAAGAGCAAAGTGTTGGCCAGTATTAATTTCACATATTATTACTATGAGTGTTATGTAGGGCTGGGGGCAGGCTGGGAACAGGGGAACCAGCTGAGTCCCCGTGGAACCACCCTTGCAATATCCGCTCCATCCCTTTTGGCTGTGACCCTATCAGTGCCTCTCCCCTTCCCCCCTCCCATGGGTCCTGTGCAGCCCTGCCTGCCCCTGGGTGAAGGAGCTGGGGGAGGCTGTCAAGATGACTCCCCTCCATGGAGGAAAAACAAGCAGCAGCTGGGATTGATCACCCCAGGGCCATCCCCACCCCTGCAGTGAGGCAAAGCCCTGCAGTGTTTTCGTCTGTGGGGGGCAGGGCCGGCTGGGCGGGTGGGAGGGGGGATGCTCAGCTGGAGCCTGACAGAAAACAGATGTGGCAGGGAAGGAAGGAGAGGGGAAGAGGAGGGTTCTCAGGAGATGGCTGCCCCAGAGGTCAGAGCTCAGGGGGCAGGAGAAATAAAGCAGCCCTTCCTCTCAGCTCTTCAAAAGCTCCTGACACCACCCCCTCACCACTGCCCAGTTTGCTGCTTCCCTGAGGGAGAAGACCCCTGTGAAAGGAGACTGGGGTGGGGGGTGCTGGGTGATGGGAGGCCTGGGTCCTAGGCGCTCTTTATGCTGGCTGGCTGAGTGACCTTGTTCAAGTTCTTTGTCCTGTCTGGGCCAGTCTCCCTGCTACACGCAGTAAGTGCTCAACAAAAAAGGGCTGAATGACTGTGGGGTGCGGGCTGTGGAGCAGGAGACAGGGCCACGTGCTCTTGGAAGACCCTTCCAGTTTGGGCCTGGGAGACCCTGATCCTGAGTATGGAGACGAGGGAAGGGTGGTCAGGGAGGCTGTGATCGGACTGAGGGGTGGTAGAACAGGTCGGGAATGGGCCTGGCATTGAGGAAGGAGTGCAAGGGCAATATAGGGCCAGGGGCCCAGCAGGCGGGAGCCACTGCAGGAAGCTGGGTCCTACTAGCCTTGGGTGCATGGGCCATGCCTCTCTGCTTAGGTCGCAGAGGGTGTGAAAGTCACAAGGACCGAGCCTCCCAAACCCCCAGCACAGACCCAAGCACCTGTCCGCCTGAGTCCCTGCAGGAATTGGCCCATTCTGGACCCCTCATCCCCACCCAGGCCACTCCTCTGCCCCCTCCAGCCCCAAATTTTATCCCTGTTCATGATTCCCAGCTCCTCTACTAACCTTGGGTGAGTTACTCACACCCCTTGCCTCAGTTCCCTCCCCTGTAAAATGGGGAAGTAATAGAGCTGACCTCACAGGGCGGCTGAGAGGATGATGGCATAAAGTACTCAGGGGAGTGCCTAGCCACTGCTCGCTGCTGTCAAAATTTTCGTTGCTGCCTTCTCCTGTCACTGAAATCCACCTGAGATCCCTCCTCTTCTCTCCTGCACTGGGAACATGGGACTTTGGTCTAGCACATGGGTCCAGTTCATGGGAGGCCAGGCTGGGATACAAACCGGGCCTGTGTGCCCCAGGGCCTGGCTCCTGACAGTGTCTCCAAACAGGGGCAAGTTCAACTCGGAGGGACAGTTCCACCTGGGGGTCCTGGGGAGGCCACATGCCTCGTCAGCACTGCGCTCTCCCTCCCTGTGAAATGGGGATGAACCGAACACCCGTGGAGGGCACAGCACACATGAAGGTTGGGCAGGGCTTGGCAAATGGCACCTGGAGGTTGGCCACCCTTGTGATTTGGGCCAGGACTTCTCTGAATGCCAGTTGCTAACTCTGGCTGATTCAATCTGTTCAGCTGGAGCGGAAGCTCCTGGAACACAAGCAGTCCCCTGACCCTCATGTTCCTTCAGTGCGTGCACAGACCTGGAGAGAGCCCTCAGCGAAGGCTCCAGTGAGGAGAAGAATGAACCCTTTGAACAGCAGCAGCCATGCCCAAGGGCTGGGGAGAGCAGAGTTCAACCCAAAGTGTGAGCATGCTGATCGTCAGACATGGTGGGCTGGTATTTTTGGACTGAGGTCCCAGACCTCTTCAGGAATCAGTAGAAAAACTTCAGGAACCAGGACGCAGTCTCCTTTAGATGGCCCACCCCAACCTCATCCCAGACACAATGCTCCCAAAACACTAGTGCATGTCATGTGCCCCGCACCTACCCACCCCAGCCAGGACATCAGGTCTGTGTTGGCACTCTAGGGCCTTGCCTCTCCCTCAGTGCCACTAGGATGTGGGCCTGCTCCTGGGCCACCATGGCCGGTTTCACGTCTGTCTGCCTGCATGTGACAGTGTGGGTAATGAGAACCATGAAAACCTTTGCGGGTAGGGAAGTAGGGAGTCAGCAAACAGAGAAAATGGAGGCTAGCACAAGGGTCATAAAATCACAGAATGTTCTAACCACAAGAATCCTCTCCTCACCCTTCTAGTAGGATAGAGACCAAATTCTCCGCTGCGGCCTCCAACCAGCCCCATGCAGCCCCGTGCTGCACGCTCTGCTTCGCCGCTCAGGTCCTCCCATGTTCGTGCTGACCCTGTCCCCTCTTTTATGCATACGGTTCCCGCACCAGCAGTGTCCCCTCTCTGCCACTCCCACCAGCCCTCTTACTCCACGACCCTCCACTCCCCATCAGAGGGCCGCCTGACGGCAGGGGGTCTCGGGAGGGCCTTCTCCAAGTGCTCCCAGAGCTGCCTCCCCTCCTCGCTTCCCTTTCCCTTGGGCCTCCTTCGCCCCTGCTGCTGCCATTTTTCCTGTGACTCGGTGCCCCGACTACCTCATCTGCAGTGACCTTCTCTCCTACCAACGCCTGGACTGAGTCCTCTTCAGAAACCCCTCTCTGTCCGGCTCGCTGGCTCCCTGACCTCCACCCAGTCCTGGCCCCACCTCTCCCTCAGGGCCCTTTTGGCTTCCCTTCCTGCCATCTAAGCTGATGCCCCAAGATCATGCATTATCATATTTGCCCAAATAGGCCCAACTCTTTGACCTTCTTCCCTCTGAACGCTCCCCCCTCACCCCGCAAACCTCTGCCCTGTAGCCCCATTCACCATCTCCTGTCCCCTCTGCCCAGGGAGGTGGAGGGAGTCACAGAACTGGGCTGGTGGCTTTGGTTACAGTTAGGAGTATGCGGCTTGGCAGTCCTGCAGGTTTCTCTGGGAGGCCCGCTCCCCTATCGCTTGTCCTTCCTCAAACCCACCACACTCCTCCTCACCCTCATTCTCAGCTGAAAACCTCCTGTCCCATTTCTCTGAGAAATCAGAAGACTTGGAAGTAAAGTTCCTTAACTCCGCATAAACCATCAGTCTTCCTTATTACCCCCACCTCCCTCCCTCCCTCCCTCCCTCCCTCTGTTCCGGCCAAAGATAAGCCATCCTCTCTTGCCCCTGCATCATCAGCCCTTGGCTCTCTTCTGGATCAATCTCATAAGCTCCAGGCTCTCCATCTCTAGACCAGCCACCCCAATGCCACCTTCCCAAGTCCAGCTACTGTCCCATTTGTCTGCTTCTCTCCACAGTCAAACCCTGTCAAGAGAGTGGACCAAGAAGGCATTCCCTCTGCAGGCTGGCCCAAGACGCCTCCTCCCTCATGGCCCCATGGACACGACCCCGCCAGTAGGTTCATTGTGAACCGTCATCACCACTCTGCCTGCACCTGACCTGCAGGGCCTCAGCTTTCATGGGTCTCAAACCTTGGCTGTCGTTCAAGTTCTCGTGTAAAGGGATGCCCCATGAAGCTTGAGGATCACCTCCTCATGGTCAAACCTCAAGGGCACATCTTCATGGTCATTATACCTGACATCTTAGCACCAACCACCACTTGTCCCCGCGAACAGTGTTCCACCTGACCCCCAGGACTCTATGTTCCCTGTTTCTCCTTCTGCTGGGTCCTTCAGCTCCATCTGACCCCGAATACGGGATCGCAACACGTGGCCTGGGGAAACCCTTCTCTGCTCTGTCCACATTCTGCAGGAAATCTCATCTAGTCCTTAATATGTTTAGGTCAGTGATACCCCTGACTTCTCATCTGAGCTTCAGAACGACACATCCCACGGCCTTCTTGACATCTCAACTTGGATTTTTAGCAGCATCTCAAATGTGACATGTGTATCAGAGAACTCTTGTTTTTATCTAGAACACCTATGTTCCACCCCACCCCAGCCCTGGCTGCGCACCTCAGTAATGACCACCTCCTCCCTCTCAGGTGTTCAAGCCCAAAGCGTGATTGTTTTGGATTCCTGCCCCTCCTGTACCTTCTGGGGACCCTTTGTGTTGAATCCAGATCCAGAGCCACCTCCTCGATTCAGACCCTTTCCAGCTCACATGAGACTTGACCATGGTTTTCCCACTGGTTTCTCCATTTTCAATCCCTCAGCATCCTCCTTCCCACCAAAAATTCATCTCTACACACAACCAGAGTAACTGTCTCAAAATGAAGCAGAAAGCATGAAAGCAAAATGCTTCCTCCTGTGGCCCCCAAGGCTCTGGGAGTGCCATTCAGCTCCTGCTCCTTTCCTCTCACTTCACTCTCCTACCCCCTCACTGAGCTTTGGGCCTGGAGCGCCCCAAGTCCTTATGGCCTCAGGGCACCTGCACCTGCTACCCGCCTTCTTCCTAGAGTGGCCACCCCTACTGCGAGAGGTCCAGCTTCCTCCCCTCCTTCAGGTTCCTCCTTGCAGCCTGCAGTGAGCAGGTCCTCCCTGGGGTGGTTGCCTCAACCCCTTCCCCCCGGGGCAGGCCCACGGGTGCTTTGGCCCCCGGCCCTGTGCACAGTGCCTGGCACAGCAGCTGCCCCATAGACATGAGTCAACTGGATGAATAAATGAACAAAATGCACACTTTCTACAGCATCCCATTGCCCTCGCACCCCTCTCTGTCTCCCAATAGCACCCAGTTCATAACTTTCAAACTTCACCTGGGGTCTGCAGTCTCAGGGTCTTGGTCCAGTTGCCTCTTTACCCTCCTCCCCTTCCCAGGGCAACAGGCACCCTCTCACTTCCATTTCAGATGAGCCAAGAAAAGAAAGACTAATTTGGAGGGACCTGGTCTCATCCTTGTCATAAGAAGGAGAACTGATAAGGGACAAAGTCACCCTCCCTGTCCCCCCAGAAAGCCACCGCCACACTGCATCCCTGCCGGCCCGCCCCGCCCACCAGCTCACCTGCTTGTGTGGGTACACGTTGATGTGGCACTTGATGCACTCCTGCCCCATGTTGGCCCAGGAGTTCCCGCTCATCCATTTTCTCTTGCACTTGGGACACTTGTACTCGCCGAAGCAGCGCTTTTTGCCCTGGTATGGGGTCAGACCCTCGCCTTTGGGGCGTGCCTAGGGGACAGGAAGCAAACACAGGGGTTTGGGGTCCACCAGGCCAAAACGCTGCCCCCACAGGGTCCCCACAGTGTCCCTCTTCAGCTTTCACGTCCTGTGTCCCTGTGTGCAAGCACTCTGTCCCCAATCCAGAGAACACCAGGGTCAACGCAGAGCACACACGGGAATTCAAGGCTGGGAGACAGAGAACAGAGGAGGTGATGGGGGCTGCCCATCTCTTTCATATTTAAGGGAGCCAGGTACTTGATGGTGGCTGGGAATTACCTCTTTAACTCAGGTGTCATGAAGAGGTGGCAGGGGGTTGCATGGACCTGCACACGGGTGCTTGTTGGCCCGCACAGTGGTGTGGTTTAAACGGTTATTGAGGAGGCAACACAGCCGCTGTACAGCCTATGCAGTATCAGTAGGTCTCCCCTCACCCCTTCCCCCAGCCACCCTCCCCCCTACCTGGAGGTAATCGTAATTTCCTTTACGTGCACCACCCAGAAGACACACTCTACTTATAAACACATGCAATACATGTACACACATGCCTTCTTTTCCCTCACTCATATAGAATCTTTATACTGGTCCTGCATCTTTCTTTCTTTTTTTTACTTAATAATGTATCTTGGACATACTATTGTAAGACGTATATGATAAAATATCCTCTTCCCACATCAGTAGAAACTGAGCTCTTGTTTTCTGTTTAACAGTTGCAAGTCCCAGGGTTGGCCAGTCACTGTTATAGAACATCTGGGTGGTTTCCACTCTGCCACTATTATGGACTACGCTCCAGGGAATAACTCTGAGAGTGTGCGTGTCTGTGTGTGCGTTAGAGAGAGAGAGGGAGAACATTTGTGGGACAAATTCCTAGAAATAAAATTGGTACGCACATCTTTAATTTCTAAAGGTAATGACAAAATTGTCACTGCCCTCCCCCAGGCGCACCAACTTAACACCCCACATCCCCACCGAGAGAGTTGTCATCATCGCCAATCCAAGAGGCCAAAAGTCCTCTCAGAGTAGCTTTGACTTGTATGTCTTCTATTATGTGCAAGAGAGATGCTCCCCATGCATTTAAGGACCATTTGCATTTCCTTTATGAACTGTTAGTTCAAATCCTTTGTAAAATTTTTTCCCTGCTGGGGTTTGGAATTTTTCTTGGTGATTTGTAACTGCACTTTATATGTTAAAGAAACTAGCTTTCTCCTACATGGTGTTTTAAATAGTTTTGTTGAGATACGATTCTACATTTAACACATTTAAGGTGTATAATTCAATGTTTTTTAGTATATTCATGGAGTTATACAACAAGTACTACAATCTAAATTTAGAATATATTTGTCACCCCCCCAAAAGAAACCTTGTGCCCATTAACAGTCACGTCCAGTCCTACCCCCACCTCTCCATCCCACTCATGCCTAGGCGACCACTAGTTTATTCTCTAACTCTCAAAATTTCTCTGTCCTAAATATTTCATGTAAGTGTGATAATACAAATTGTCGCTTTGTGTCTGAATTCTTTTATGCAGTGTAGTGTTTTTAAGGTTCAGCCATACTGTAGCATGTATCAGTATTTCATTCATTTTTGTTGCTGAAAGATGCTCCATTGTAGGGACATGCCATGTTTTATGTAAATTCACTCATCAGATGATAGAAATTTGGGTTCTTTTTAATTTTTGGCTATTTTGAGTAATGTTAATGTGGACATTCATGTACAAGCTGCATAGTGTTTTATAAAGTTGTTTTAGTTGCCCCAATATTTTAAAAATGAGAGATTTCACATAGGAATAGGACCGCATTGGTCCAGAATTCTTATGGTGTCTATCAGCTGATAGTTGCTATGTGGCATGTGCAGGCTTTGAGTTTGACACAGGCTTAAACACAAGTTCTACTGTGACTATTCAACTCTGGCTCCTAGACTGGCCTCAGCAGTATTCCTTAGGAGCTAACGTTAGAAATGCAAAATTGCAGGCCCCACCTTAGTCTACTGACTCAGAATCTGCATTTTAACGAGAGACCCAGGGGATTCACATGCCATTAAGTTTAAGAAGCACAGGGCTATGAGATGATCTGTTTCCATAGTAATGCCTGCCTGGGTAATTGTCCACTTATGAAGTAAGGTTAAGAACAAAGGCTCTGGATCCAAATCCTAGCTCTGTGATCTTGAGCAAGTTACTTCACAAGGATAACAATAGGAACTCCATATAAGACTGCTGTCAGGATTAAATGAGATAATACATGCAAATCACTTGAAACAGTATACAAGTCACTCGACCTCTCTGTGCCTCGGTTTCCTCATGTGGAAACCCAGGATGATGACGAAGGGCCTGCCTCTCAGGGCAGTTGAAGAATGGGGTGCATTCATGCACATGAAAGCCTCCGCTCGGTGGTGGAACACTGCAAGTGCTCAGTCACCATCAGCGATTTCAGTATGATTCTCCCCTGGGCATCACACAGGGAGAGGGAGCAGATGTGTTCCAGGTGATGGGGAGCTTAGGGCTGAGACCAATGGGTGTAAATTGTAAGAAGAAAGTTCCGAAGAAGAGAGGGAGGCCCAGGTAGAGGTAGGCTTGCTGTCCTTGGGTTGCAGGGCACATGGCAAGCGAGAAGGAATAGCATTAGGTATGTTCATCTACTGGAATTCCAGGCAGGGACAGAGATAGAAAAAGTCCATGGAAACTGCAGGCTCCGACGGCTGAGGACAGAGGGAAGAGGGAAGAGGAGAGACATTTATGAAGCACACTTGTCTCTGTGTTCGCTTTGTGCTCAGGGCTCCGTGTCCTGTCAGGTCCCCATTCACCTCTTCTCATAACCCTGTGGGTCAGGGAATATCATCAGCCCATTTCCCAGATGGTAATGCTGAGACCCGGGGAAGGGACAGGACTTGCCAAAGAGTTTCCAATGTGTGAGGAGCAAGGGGCTAGGCCAAGCAGGCTTTTCTACAAAGTTACACTTGGCTCACCTTTTCTGTCACCCCCCAAGTATGTCCCCATCATGAAGCTGAGGCCTGTGCTCAGGAGGAGAAATCCCCCAGCCCCCAAGGCCTTCAGCTCAGTCCAGCCCAGCCCAGTGGCTTTGCCCTCCTGCAGGTCAGAGGAGAGTTGTGGCCTGGCGGGCAGGGGTGATGGAGGCGAGGAGCCGCTTCCTGGAAGGGCTCAGTCCCAACATTGTTTATGCTTACGGATAAGGGCAGGGCTAATGGGAGCAGGAATTTTTAACAGAACAAAGGCTTCTCTACCCCCTACACTGTCCCTCTGTCTCCTCCCAGAAAGGCACAGCCTCTTCTCATAAACTTTAGCATGAAACAGACAGTTACTGCCGAAGGCTCTGCAGGGGCCGCCACCCGCCTCAGCTGGGAAGGGTGCCAGGCCCAACCAGGCTCGCCTGACCCAGGCCCCTGCCACGTACCCCTCTGGGGAATCAGATCTGCCCAGGGCCTGGGCAAAGCTCACTGAGGCTCATAAACCACCTCTAGGAGCACAGACAGGCCTCCAGGGGACCAGAGAGCCAAGAGACTTGCTGAAGGGTACATAGCAAATCGAGGACTGAGCGGGGAGGAGTGACCGGGTCCCCTGACCTCCAGAGCAGGGCTAGAAGTGCCATGGAGGGCAGGCAGCCTGGGAAGTGGGAGGTGGTGGCTGGTGCAGGAGTAGGAAGGAGGTCCTGTGCCAAGGAGCAGTGGAAGCAGAGCTGGATAGGGAAGCAGGAGGAGCCATCGGGGCAAGTAAGCATCTTGGGAAGAGATGCAGGTAATGCTGACACTATCTAATCACTTCGTCAGAGTTTTCTTTCCACCAGCTCAGAAGACTTCTGGTTACTGGCCATAAGGTAGTGAGCTCCCTGCCCCGGGGGATGGGGGGTGCAGTGTAAGCAGAAGCTGGGTGACCAACTGCCAGAGAGGTTGCCAAGGGGACTTAATGCCCTGGTCAGGCAGTTGGACCAGGTAACTCTGAGGGCACTTCTAACTCTTTAGTTCTTCTAACTCTTGTTGCTGGTGAAAGCCAATTGGGCAGATATGGGGAGGGAGCACCCTCAAATGCTGCTGGAGGTTAGAGCTGAACAAGTATATTGCCTGCTGTATTCCTATAGTGCAACTTGGCAGTCAGCCTTCAAACTTAAAAAAAAAAAAAGGTCCATTCCTTCTCCTCAGCAAATCTATTTCTGAGCAACCATCCTAAAAATGATCAGAGATGTGGACCAAAGGGCTGTTCAAGGATATTCATCATAGCACTGTTTATGACAGTGAAAAATTGGAACAAGCTAAACATTCAACACTGATGCTCTGGTTCCCTAAATGATGTTACACCCATTGGATGAATGACAACAGAGCCATTAAAATATTTATGAGGATTTTTTAAGGGTTTGGGAAAATGCTTATAAAGAAAGCAGGTTAAGTGATCAAAAATAGGCTGCTTCCAGAGTAAAACTGTAAGAAAGAAAAACTGTGCGAGAAAAGGGCTGGCAGGACATGAGCCAGAAACCTTCAGAGGTTGCCTCCAGGAGTCAGCCTGCTCTAATCTAATGAGTGAGCTCTCTTTAATGAGTAGGTATGACTCTCTGGCCTGCAAGCCTCTGCCTGTCCACGAGGGGACGCCCTGCATTTTCCCAACAGAGATGGCAGCTCTGTCCATACTCTTCCCTTCCCCCCAACCCACTATCCCTCACCCTTTGACCTTGCCGGTGTGGAAACTGAGGAGGGCTGGGTGCAGGGCACCGGTGACCTGGGACTGCTGGTTCTGTTGGAACATGTTCGTGTCCAAAGAGCTGTCCTGCCCCCAGCCATGGAGTAGGCTTCCCACCTTCTGGATCCCATTTATTCCCTCGATTTTGAGGATAGCCAGAGACATATACATATCTGTCACAGGACACAAGAGCCTAGCTGGTCACTCTGCCCATTAATGTCCCTGCACCTGCTTCCCAAAGTCCCTCCAGGAGTGAGACAGCTTTTAGGGTGAAGCATGCTCTCCTCTTGGCCCCTTTTAGAGTGAGTCCCTTTTGCAGGGTGATGACGGT